GCGCGGGGCAGAGGGGGAGGGGGCGGATGGAGGATGGGTGGGTGACGGGTGGCCGGCTTGACGGGTGAGCGGGTGGTTGTGGATGGACGTGTGGATCTTCCCCGAGCCGCGAGGGGCGGCGAAACTACATACGAGAGATGCAAAGGTTGCGTAGACAGGCGACGACCGCACGCGCTCCCCGGACAGCAGGCACCCGCCGCGTGCCCGCCCCGGCGCGCCGCGCACGCAGCAAGCGCCTCCTTCGACACCGCGGCCCCGCCACCGCAGGCGATCGCTCCCTTTTGTGCAGCCCCTGCAGCGCGCGCCTGCTGTTTTGTGCGCAGGCTGTCGTAGCAGGGCTCGTATATGATCTGATCAGCCAGATCCAGCAGCGCGCGCAGCCGCAGGTCGTTGGCCGGGCCGACCTTCGGGCGTATGAAGATGTGTGTACATGTGTGTCAGAGTGTGAGAGAGAGTGTGTGTATGCATGTGTGTGCATGTGTGTGTAAGTGCGTGTGGGTTCCGCACTTGCCAGGGCTGACCGCCGCCAAGCAACACAATATCCTGACACCCCCAAACAGACCCACCATCCCAGCAGTGCGCCCCACTTGACCGAAGGCGTGCTCCCACAAGTTACTGCACCCCTCCCCCTGCCTGGCAAAATCCCTCCAACCTCACCAGCGCAACACCTTTGCCCCACAAAACACACCAAGGGCCCTCAAACAAGCCCAACAGCAAGCTGCTCTACCCTCGCTCCTTGCCCCCCAAACTTCCTCCACAACGCCATGTACTCCCGTTCCACCAAACCAAGGCACCCTCCCCCCCTCACAACCCGACCAACCTGGAAGTAAACCTCCACACAGCAGTTTTCCTCGTCAGCGTTCTTCGCCGCCTGGCTGTGAACCACCGCCCGCCCCGCCGGCAGCCGCACGCAGCGGTCCGACGGCCGCGCGGCGGCGGGCAGCGACGCGCCGGGGCCGGCGGCGGCGTGGAGGTCGCGGGCGAGGGCGGCGGCGGCGGCCGCCGTCACGTTGCCCAGCAGGAAAACCTCCAGGTGGCAGTTTGCCATGAACTCCCGCACGTACGCCTGGCAGCGGCCGGCGGTTGGGGGGTGGCGAGGGCGGTGGACGGGGGCCGGCGTAGCGGGTGGGGAAGGGGGGCGGGGGTGCTAGAGGGCAAGAATTTCTGTTGGGAGGTGCTTCGCACGTTGGAGCGAGGTGCATCCACGACCGCGCCCCCGCCACCCTCCCCGTTTACAACAAGCACGCATGCAGGAGGGCAACGCGGTCCAATGCTGACAATAAGCAGGGGCAGCCCACCTTGACTTCGTCGACAGAGGGGATGCCGGCCAGGGCCGCCCCCACCGCGTCCACGTGCCACACGTTCGCCTGCGGGCGTGCAGGATGCAGGGTGTGTCCAGGGGGAGGGGGAGCGTGTGCCACGACAGGGGCCAACTCACGTTTGCAAGAGACTGACTAACGCCTGGGGTGTGTGCACACGCCTGGCGCGGCAGCGTGGAAAGCGGTGTCCTGTTTGCCAGCGGCCTTGCACAGACCCCTGGGCAGCCAGAACGACATGCGAGACACCGCACCAGGGCCCCAGCAGCACCCCCGCTCCAAACCCACCATAGACCAACATCAAACCCACCTGCAGCGCGTAGAGCCGGGCGTAGTTGGCGGCCTTGCCTACGCTCATGTTGGCGTTGCGGTGCTTGCGGGCCAGGGCCTCATGCACGCGGCCAAAGCTGGAGGGACGCACCTGTGTGTGTGTGTGTGTGTGTGTGAGTGTGTGTGTGTCATATGTGTTTGTGTGTATCTGAGTGTGTGTGTGTGTGCTTGTGCACGTGTGTGTGACAGAGAGAGAGAGAGAACTGCGCTGAAGTGTGCGCAGACATGTGTGCATGTGCACGTGCATCAGGAGGGCGTCCAGGGATGTGGGTTGAGGGGCGGATGTAGCAATGCCGAAGGCAGGCAGGCTGCCGCTTTGCAACAGTCTCCGCTGCCTGGTCGGCCCCAAGATACAGCTTTGTGGCGGGACCGCACCTCGCAGCGCGCGGCGCACTCCAGCAGGCGGCGAGCGAGGACCGGCAGCTTGTGGCTGAAGCCGTCGACCCGCAGCTCTACGCCACTGTGGCCCTCTGGGCTGGTGCTGTAGTGCAGGCCTGTTGGGTGATTGTGTGTACGTGAGAGAGGAGAGTGAGTGTGTGTGTGTGTGCTTGACAGTGTGTTTGTGTGTGTGTGTGTGTATGTGTGTGTGTGTGTGTGTATGTGCGCGTGCGTGCACAGGTGTGTCTGCGCGCGTGCGTATGTGCGTGTGAGGGGGGGAAGTGTGTGTGCGCGCAGGCTGGCATGCATTTGTGTGAGTATGTGTGTACAATCGAGCGCGCAAAACAGAGAGAGAAAGAGGGTGTGTGTGTGTGTGTGTGTTTGTGTTTGTTTTTGTTTATGTGTGTGTGTAAGCATGCGCGCGTGTGCGTGTGTGCATCGTGTCGCGCGCGCGAGTGTCCCCACCCGCCACGTCAGCGAGGTAGGCGTCCTCGTTGAGGGCGTCCTCCACCAGCTTCAGCCAGAGGGACCCCAGCGCGGCCGCGCGCGGCGACGCGTAGCCGGCTGTGCTGGCCAGGCGGCAGTAGCAGTGGGCGCGCGGCTGGCGGAAGCGCGTGTCGAGCTTGTGCCAGAGGCGCAGGCCTGCAGAGTGCGAGGGTTTGGGAGGAGCGCGCAGGGTGTCGCGGGGAGAGTGATGAGGATGCATGACTGTACTCGTTTCGCAACAGCACGTCCAGTACAGTGGCGCGTTGCGCGTCGCCGATGCTGCGGCTCGCATTGCAAATGCAACTCCCCAGTCCAGCTTCGATCCGGCGCCAGCTTTGATCCTCACAAGCCCGCCGTTCCCCATCTTTGGCAGCTTTACCAAACCTCCGCTGCCACAGCCCCCAGGACAGCGCACCCGGCTCGTCCAATACCAGCGCCGGCGGCGAGGCCAGCACCACCGCCAGGCCCATTGCCGCGTCCTGCCACCCCTCCAGGGCGCCCTGGCTCGCCTCGCCCACCAACGCGCCGCCGCGCGGCGACGGCGACAGTCCACCATTTTGCTGCTGCGGCGGAACGCCGTTCTGCGGCGGCGCCGGGGCGCCGACCGCGTCGGCGCACAGGGAAAAGTCGGACGGGATGTAGGGGTTCGGCGGCGGCAGCGCCAGGTCGGCCGCCACCTTGGCTTCCGCCCAGCTTCCCGTCAGCTGCTCGGGCAGCCGCAGGGCCGCGCCCTCCATCCCGAACCACGGCTCGGTGAACACACGCGCGCCGGCGGCGCCCTTGGCGCCCGCCGCCGCCTGGTCCTGCCCCTGCTGGCTGTCCGGCTGCTGCCCGCCCTCCAGCCGCGGCAGCTTCCCGTCCAGCAGCTGCTCCGTCAGCCCCTTGAAGTCGTTCGTCAGCAGGTCGACCCGGTAGCTGCCGGCCAGCGGGGAGAAGGTGGCGAGAAGCTGCGTAACGCGCTCGGGCTCCCAGGCCTCGTGGAGCCAGTCTGCTGCGAGAACGTGCTCCGGCTTTACAACGCCCAGCGTGGCTGACAGCCGCGTCACATAATCACAGGCGTCCTCGTCTTCCAGGAACCTGGGGGGCGAGTGAGTGTGTGTGTGTGTATGTGCGTGCGTGTGTGTGTGTGTGTGTGTATGTGTGTGTATGTGTGTGTGCGCGTGCGTGCGTGCGCGCGTGCGTGTGTGTGTGTGTGCGCACGTGTGCGTGTGTGTGTGTGTGTGTGTGTGTGTGTGTGTGTGTGCGTGTGCGTGTGAGCTCGCGCGCGCGTGTGTGTGTGTGTATGTGTGTATGTATGTATGTATGTGTGTGTGTGAGAGTGTGTGTGTATGTGTGTGTGCGAGTGCGTGTGCGCGAAGATTATATGAGTGCACGTGAGGGGAGCGGTCTTTACTTCTGAGAGGTGGCCAGTGCTGGCTGGAATGGTGAGTGCAGCGCTCGCAGATACAAGCGCCACACGCGGCGCGTCACTGCAGCACCACAGGCGCACCCTTACATCTGCATGCTGCCGTTGGCGCCCGCCATGCACACCTATCCGCCCACCATGCACCCTTCTCCGCATCCCACTTACCCAACCCCGACCACCCATGTCACCCGCCCACCTGAACTTCATGTCGCTGATGGCCTTGAGCTCCCGCCACACCCACTCCTGGGGACCTGGGAGCGTGCATGGATGCACGGGTGCAAAACATTGGTGCAAATGGCAGGGGTGTGACAGGCTGGTCAAGGGTTGGGCAGCTGCCCAGAGTGATGTGAGCGAGGCAGGGCCGCCCAAATATGCAGGCGTGAGCCAGCACGAAAAACCTGCAAGCCAGGCAGAGGCAAACTGAGCTGCCGGCCCGGCACAGGCGGCGCCAAGCGGGAAGGTCAGAGGGCAGGGCGCGGGCGCGTGCGTGGGGGCGCCCTCTTGATCCCTCACCCGCGTCCTGCAGCAGCCGCATGTACTGGAACAGCAGCGCCACTGGTGCCAGGCCCAGGCCGGGGCCGGCGTGGAGGCCCGCCTCAGTCAGCGTCATGGCCACGCTGAGGGATTGGGTGGGGTGGGGTGGCGTCGGAGTTTGAGGTGTTGAATGCCCTCTGGAGGTTGGGCAATCTGAGGTGGTCTTTACCACCAGGGCAGACTGCCAACTGCTAGTCAAGAGCGCGTCATCATCTAGTAGGCAGGGGGCCGATGACGAAAGCGCATGTTGCAGCCGCGCAGCAGCATGCCGAGCGGCGGCCGGGCACCGCAGGGCGGCGAGCGTCCGCAGGTTACTAAGGCAAAAGGCGGTCCGGGGCGGGAGCGCGTGCATGGGGGGCAGGGTGCTGCTGCCAAGAAGCTGAGGACACGGCCGGGCTGGACGCACCGCTTTGTCTCACCTGAATAGGTAGCAGCAGCTGTTGGCGCCATACCCGTCGTCCTCCACTCCCGCGCACAGGTCGGTCACCCAGCCACGCGCCTTTTGGTGTTGAAGGTTGGGAGGTGAGGCGGGGGGGACGAGGGGTAAGGGTGGGGATGCGAAGGCAGCGGGTCGTTTTTCAGCGCTCGCCGGCGGCTTGGGGAGGGAAGCTTCAGGTTTGGTTGTGCCGCCGCCTCCACACTTCCCCTGTGCTGCGCACGGCCTTGGGTGTCACCCGACTGAACCCGGTGACTCCAAATCAGTCAACCTGTCCTGCATTCAACCCAGAGCATAACCTCCCAATGCAAAAGTTTTGCACCTGATTACAGCTCACTCTTCCTCCCAATTCTCGCTGTGACCAGTGCGCCGAGCGCACGCATCCCTCAACGTGTTGTTGGTGGCGTTCCCCACCTTGAGTGCTGAGAAGAGGGAGCCGGGCCCCTCGTGGCCGACCAGATGAGATATGTAGTGGTCGGGCTTTGTGGTGTAGTAGCGCCGCAGCGGCGGCAGCTGGAAAGTCACCGTCACCTGAGACGGGCACAGGGGGGGGGTGCGTGGGGGCGTGCGCGTGGCGGAGGGTCGGGCGCTGCAAGGGCGTGGGGTGCGTGATTCTGTGTGTGTTGGAGAGGGGGGTGCCGCCGGCCTGGCGCTGGCGCGGGCAGAGAGGGCCGCGCAGCAGGGCCGGCAGCGGGGCGGGCGTGCGTGGAGGCTGTTGCGCCGCACAGGTCATATTTAACCCAGCGTCCGTCCAGCAAACAAGGCTCGCCGAGTGCATGCGCTTGGCAGGACAGGGAGGCTGGATTGCGCAATCAGCCCGAGCCAGATCTGCCAGGGCCAGATCAGCCAGGGCCGGATCAGCCAGGGCCAGATCAGCCAGGCCCGATCAGCCGGGGCCAGATCATCCACAGCCAGATCAGCCAGGGGCCGCCTACCTCGTGGTGCTCCTTGACGGCCGAGGCGATGTGCAGCTGGCGGCCCTAGCGGGGCGGGGTCGGTTTCAAGTGGGTGGGGTGGGGTGGGTTGGCGGTGGAGAGCCACGGCATCGATTCCAGAGCACAGGGGGAGCGGGCTTACCAGCAGCCAGGGGCCCTGGGGCCTGCAAGGCACAAAACAAGCGTCCAGGCTGCCAAAGTCGATGGGCTTTGGAGAGCAGCGGCCCGTCCGTCCGTCGCGGCCCGCCACGCGCGCAGGCGGGCACCCAGCCGTCCCATCAGAACAGCACCGCGGCGGCGCGGCGCGCGGCGTTGAGGAGCCTCGGGCTGCGGGGCCTCGCACCTCGAAGGGGAAGCCCTCCGCCTCAAATGTGGGCGCGGGGCCGCAGTGGCCGCCCTTGACGCGGCTGAAGAGGTCCCTCACCCAGCCCTCCAGGTCGTCCAGCCCCTTGCCCCCCAGCACGGCCAGGCACATGCGCTCGGCGCCATACTCGCGCCTGGGTGTCGGATTGAATTGCGTTGGGTAGGGTTGAATTGGATTGGAATCGGATTGGATTTGATTAATCGGATCGGATCAAATGGATTGGATGATACGGAGATGAAAAATGGGGGTAGTTGAACACCAGCGAAGAGGGGGCGGTGGGGAGGGGAGGGGCGGGGCAGAGAGACGCAGGGCGAGGGAGAGGTGCATTCTCATACGAGTGGGGAGGGGCTAACTAAGCTGCTCGCAAGGCGGCCGCACGCGCCCCTGAAAGGTGCAATCGGTCGACATGGGGCCGGTCCCTGCCAGTGGACGCAGCGAGGAGCGGCGGCCCGCCGCAACCCAGCCGTCACCCGACCGTGGTTGGCCGTCACTAGGCTGTCACCCAGCGGTCACCCGCCCGCCGTCCCGCGCGTCACCTGTAGTACTGCAGCAGCTGCTCCCTCACGTCCAGCCCCGCGGCCGCGGGCTGCTCCCACAGGCTCTTCTTGTTGCCCCACGAGAACTTGCTGTAAACGTGGCCCGGCTTGGCCTGTCACGATTGGGACCCGGGTGGTCCCCAGGTCAAGACGGGGTGCGCGAATTTTTTGTGAGGCAATTCTTAGGGTGTTCCACAGCCCCCCATCCCACGGGCCACATGGGCGGTGCCGTGAGGCGCAAACAGGGCAGGCCTCTCCCTGGAATTGCTACCCTCACGGCCCCCGCGCCCGGCGCTGCAAAGCCCCTGCTTCAGCAATCTTATGCGTGGGGGGTGTTTGGGGGGGGGGGTAAGAGCATGGAAGCTGCACAGGCATACTCTTGCCCCCCCCCACCGTGTGGCACATGAGCTGGCAGAGGCGGGAGTGGTCGTCCTGGTGGACACCAGAGAACTCGCTGTCGACGGCGCACACCTGGGGTGCAGGGG